GTCAAATGTTCATTGAATTGATGTTAAGTCTTATAAGATTACCGCAAACATTGATGAGAAGAAACCTCAGACATGAGCGTCAAGTCTAAATATGGAATTTAAGTTAACTTACAAAGTATTAATACGAATTCGCGAAAAATAACAACACCAATGGATCTTGTTTTTCTCAATTCTGGTTAGAGAGAGAGTAAAAGGAAAATTACTCAAGAAAAGTAACCTACAAATAAGTAATAACTCGTAATAACGTTTCAACGAACCAACCTAGAGTACTTATCAAAGACGATGTTCACAGCTGCTGTCACTGAAACTCCTTACTGTCGTTTAACCGAAACTAAATGGCTTCAATTTGCATCCCACATTACGGAGCATCATAAGACTGTATGACTGAATTTTTCAAGATCTATCAAAACCACGAGGTTTTTCAGCCTGTTCAGACTCTGTATCGAAATAAATAAATAATAATAACTCGAGGGAAAGTCAAGTGACGGCCGCTTACGTTTACGTCTGGTTTGGTCCCGCAATCCGCATATTGGAATAAGCCGCGATGAGCCCGCCGCGCGCGTTATAAATTCCTAATGCGTAAGCACTGCTCCTGACCACAATGGAGCAAGATACAGAAGGGTATATTCCTCTTTCTTGTACGATATACTAATTTGGTTGTTTGGTATTATACGCTACCAACATGTTTTTCAAAGTGAAGATGCTTCAAACAGTAATAATTATCATTACACGTCGATAACTGGCGAGATGTGGCGCAGAAAAGACAGAAATAGAGACTTAAGTCTTACAGTCGAAGGCCAAGACTCACTCTGGGTCGCTGTGTCAGCTTAGTTTGTTATTATAAGACCTCACCACCAGCTACGGTCCAGTATATTTGTGATACAATCATTAAATTGATCAGAGGTATTCCCTGCAAGATTTAATTTAATGCCATCTGAAATTTTGCCACCGAGTGTCTTTAGAAACGTTATCTGCGCATCTATTACTCTGGCCAGATAATATTTATTCACGTCTTATAGAGCGCTTTACTGAGGTTTTTCAGCTAATAGTCGTAGGAAGTGAGCCTACTGTTAGCTTATTTGTCATAACGCTCGACTTGATCCGTGCGCGCTCTGACGGAAGTGATAATGCGGCGTGGTGACGGTTGCGTCAAACACGCAATCTACTCACTCCTGTGCTTAGCTCGTCTGGGACTCAGCCAATCGGCATGAGAATTGAATACTACATTTTTAATTTCAATCGAAACTGCCACAAGGATGGACGGAAATATATCTATATTATTTATGTTATAGATTACAGACTACACAAAGTTTGTGCATTCGCGAAACACCAGAAAAGGACAAATTGCATGCAGATTGCAGATATTTGTGACACTGCTTAGAGCATTACAAATGAGTTTCGCTGATAGTGCTCAAAAACATTTGCTGCAAACGGAATATCATTTGCATACGTAACTATGAAATTCTGTAAATTTCACACAAAGGATTTAGTTGTTTGTGCAAATGAATTTACAAATCTAGATTTCGCCAAACACAGAATACTAAATGTTTCAGTGTTCAAGAGAATCAGAACATATGAAAAAGAAAAGAATGCTCAAATTAAATGTTGCTCAAACAATTAGTGTTATAAACGGCAAAAGAAATGCTAATTCTTTGCTTCGTTCGGCAGCGGGTAATTTGCGGGTGGGTGCCTTTAATAATAATAATAATAAAGGGGAAATGGAACGATATTAAGCCGTCAAAAGAGTGGGAGTAATTATATTAGCAGCTGGCAGCCGTCATTGTTGCGGGAACTGCGGCGGGACGTTATGGAGTGTTGAGGCTAGACATTGTTGTGACACAATCACAAACGACACTAACGATGACAATTGTAAGAGTTTTGTACTTAGGCCAGGATTTTGGTCAGAATTGGACAAATAATGGCACAATGAGGCAAACGGCGCCCCCTTACAGGCAGGGCATCTTTTTATAGAAGAATCAGGTTGATATAAAAGTTAATGATGCCCCATCTAATTTAGAAACCACCGTATAATGTTACAACGACCCTCAAATGAAATTATATTTCCAAGAAACATCAATAGTATCAACTATCAGAATTTGGTCCATCGAGGTTCCCAGAAATCTGTCGGAGTCCTGAGACCAAAACTGTTATAGGATTCCGATAACAATTACTTGTTGAGTGGCTGAATTCCTTTGTCAGCATTCCCGGGACATAATCGCCTTATTGGTTGTTTATTACACATTTCCCCCACTACCAACATCGCCGGTCGTCCCGGCCGAAAGGTTGATTGAATCTTTTCTTTGAAAGATGTTGAGGACGATTGGCTAATCCGACTTTGATGGGAAAACAAAATATAAATGTTCCAAACTGTGGCAACACAATATTGTTTTATTTACATTATTATGTCTATCAGAAAAGGCTCCGAATCTAATGCAAATAAATTGAGTGTGATACAAGATTGTCAGCTGCTCAAACCCGATATGGCTTTTAAGCAGGTAACATTTCAAAGATTAAAGCTTAATAGACACCTATCTAAAGGCACATGTGAGAAGGGTTCAAGTTAGTAACGAAACACGGACAAACTTTAGGATATAATCATGATTCAAACTTCACAAGTTATCTCGGAATTACACAAACTGTAATGGCAAGGCAACCATTGAACCATAAAATTCTCCCTTTTTTGCCGGTTCTTGCTCTAAAAGTACATTCGGAATGATTTACTGCAGGTTCCCGGTGCACAATGTTTATTTTATTCTATCACTTGGTGCTTAAGCGGAAAACAGCGGCATAAACGGGGGGGTCACCTCATGGGGCGGGTGTTGTTACAAGTAAATGGTACGAGGAAGGATTCAACTTGTTGACTTTTTTACTTAATATCATAACACAACGCTTAGCAATTTCTACATCTTCCGTTTTTCTCCATTTTTTCTATTTGATGATGTCGTAGTAAAATAATTTATTTATTTCTTTGAATCTCAAGTAGGTACTTATAAGAAAAACAAATATCTGACATACTTCAAAACCATTTGTCACCTACAATTCTTGGTACAAACGTAATTCGTTGAAAAACAAAGTTATCAAAAGTAACCTAAATCTAGTTAAAACTTTTTGCTCCGTTTTCTGTTTATATTCAAGAGCAATTTCAGATGGAAGATACTGTGTTTTTCTTGGAGGATCCATCTCGGTGAAAACATGTGCGTTGGTGAAGGATCTCACGTACGCGTAACGTTTGATTGGACAAGCCGCCGGCGAGGGAACGGCGGCCCTTGGACGCGTGTTGAGTGAATGAAGTTTATGAAGGGTTGTGCCATTGGAGGGGGGAACGAACAGCCCATTGTCATTCTGCATGATATGTAAGTCAAAGATTACAGGAACATAATTATTGCGGCCGCAACCGTTTCAAAAAATTTGGTCCATTGTTCTGATCAAAGAGCAGGCAACCCAAGACGAACATGTCTTAGTACTTTAGAAAAAGGAGGCTCTACCACAAATGAAATGGGATAAGAAGAAGAAAAGTCTAAAATTAGACAATTTGCTGACAGAATGGTGCGACACCAACGTCATTGAATAAAGTTCATGAAAGACTTATTCTACTTCTGCAAGATACAAATATATGGACTGGCTGTTACATCTGGGCGGTGACGTCATCCGGGTCGCCTGCCCCGGCAGAGCATCCGGATGTGGTACGAGCGAGTTTATTGTCGCTATCACTGTCCGGATAGACCCTATTGCCTTGTACAGCGCGCGGATATTTCATGTTGTAGGTTTCATTAGCAATTAACTTAATGTAACAATCAGAGATAAACAGAGTTTATTTCATTCGAAACGGTTTAGGCTAGAATGGAGGATCAGGATATACGTGGAGTCGTGGACTAATAATAAGGATGATGATGATAAGCAATGAAGATACTTCTAAGCTAGAAGTATCTTCAAGAATAAACAAAACTTTCAGATAGTTTCATAGTAAACGTTTAAAACCTAAGCTTCACGAGCTCTTATTCGATTTTAAGAGAAAATTCTGTCATAAAAGAAAATTAACAGCATCATAAAACAAGTCTATAAGTTGAAACATTCATGGAGCAACATCAATGAAAAACAAATCGAGCAAATAAAATAAAAACACCGCGTTTTATGTACAAGTTAACTATTTGTTTACAGCGAGACGTCCGATTGACATGCGAGTAAACACGGAATAAATACGAGTAAACCAAAGGACGTAAAATGTTCGGTGCTGATACAGGCATTTACGTTTTACGCAGGGGTCTACTCCTCAAAACGACTGTGATTTATGATCGACTCTCTCCACCATCTCTATCACTCGAAGTTAAGCACTTGCAGCAATGCGAATGCGATAGATAAGTTAGGAGTGGGGTAATACTATTTTTTTCGGAGTTGGGTTGGACCTTGGACGAATAAACCACTGGACACGAAACCTACAAGATTTCTAAGGAAACACGATCAACCACTTTTTGCGGGGGGAGAGGTTTGACAATTGTCAAATAATGACATTTAGTGCTGGGAAAAGATCGTAAATTTTTATCGATAGTTATGTAAATGAATGAATGAATGAACCTAACGAGATAAATGAATTATGGATTGATTTAATATTGAAAGTTTCTTTAATTGAAAGACTATAATTAATTATTGTATCGTGTTTATTATAATGCCATTGGTAAATCATAGGTACAAATAATATTACAAATTATTCATATAGGTAGGTAACTAGGTGAAATATTTTTTGGCTGTGTTATCATTATCAAATCCGTAAAGCAATAAACAAGTAATATTCTGTTACGATCGACTGCTAACTAGCTTTTGGTCTCAACAAATGTTATAATCTGTCTCACGTCACGGACAAAAGTTTCATCAATAGCCTATTTCTATACATTTCATGAAACACAATTTGATAACATTATGACAATGTATTGCTTTGTAGCGCTTGCAGTACGGATGCACTATCTGAGAATATTTAATTCTTATCTAATGTTGTTGATATTCTTATGTTTAGGTCATTCGAGAAGACCTCCTAGTACTTATTTCAGTTTTGAAGACGTCGGTATATCCTAACTTCATTGATTCCAGAGCAATTTCGCGTTTCCGCTGTAAGCTGGATATTATCTTTGGTCGAAGATGTGTACACAGGGTACCTATCCTGTTGATGAGGGGTATTTCTTTTAGGGTTTTGTGCAGAATCGCGGAATATCCTGTCTCCTTGTTTTGCTTTCATAGATCGTTTCCTTTAAGTCTTAGAGTGGGTGCTTGTGCTTCCTCCTGAATAATGAGGTCTAAATGTCTGAGATTCAGAAAGAAGTCAAGTGATGCCGATAGAGTGGTTCTCATACAACCCATGGCCGCTATGTTTGCTAGGCACTATGCATGTTGTCGATATGACTTGCCCAGTACAATTTATTGTCAAGGGAGATGCTCAGATATTTCACCTGTGTTGGTTTTGTTTTGAAAAGTTCAGTGGCCTAATTCACGTATCTTGACAGTCAAGATCTCTCTGATGTTCAGAAGTCGTCCCATTGAAAAACAGTTGATGACAGGATGGACCAAATCAAGTTCCAACCACCCCGGTATTTCACTAAACGTGAGGGGATGACACAGATCTAAAAGGTTCCACCTCGGTATTGCATACCGAAAATAAAACCTGTTAATGAAATAAAAAATAATAATTGTAGTCATTTGGCGTATTTTTGTGATGACATTATTAATATTTAGATGCAATGAAAAGTTTAAATTGTATGTTCCATCTGTGTGGATCTCATCATCTTTTGTTTCATGTGACTAAAATAAAGCCAAAAAATCAATCAACATCAAAAATATTTTATTCAAATTTGACCAGTATTTTGATGTACAACATATTTCAAAAAAGGTGTAATTATTACTTACATTTACTGGTGTGCTTGTTTTGTATGTTCCATCTATGTCTATCTCATAATCTTTTGTTTCATGTGACCAAAATTATCAAAACAAAAAAATCTATCAAAATCTAAAATTAATTTGAATAATTTCAGTTTCAGTTTGTTTGGTATATCGATAAACTTATCGACATTTTTCAAGCCCTTTACGTCATAAAAAATGAGATGTGAATGAATGAATGAAACCTATAATCCAACCAAATTAAATATGCTACATGTTTTAAGCATTTACATGTACAATGAGTACTTTTTAAAATGACGTAATCATATTTTGTTTACATATCAAATTTTATTTATTTTACGAAAAAATAGCTACTATAATAGATTTAAAATGTACTTACGCGTGATAAGAAACATTTCTTGTGTGACAGGAATAATTTTTGCAATAAAGTACGGCGCATTTACCCATTTTTCATGATATTTTTACTCTTCGAGAGCTGGCGTCATACTGACAAAGTGACAACCTGACAACATTTACCATGGCTAATTTAGCCATGGTAAGTGCTAGCGGGGTAAAGACGAAAACGTCACTCGTTACGCGTCCAGTGGTTTATTCGTCCAAGGGTTGGACCCAAATAGAAAGCAACAAACTTCGCAGAACGAATTTTACGCTTTGGTATTTTGTGTACTTTTTACTAAAGCTCGATTTTTAACCAAACAAAATCATTGCGGGAGGTTCAGCAGTGTCCTGTGGCTGAAAAGATAATGATGAAATAATACAATAAAAATGTGAACTAGAATTAATAATTAACGTGTAACTTATACTTTCATTGTGGTTGAAGATGTATGGTAGGTGCTTCGAACTGTCACAATCAAAAGTCTGTCCTATTCGACATTTGGTCGTCGTAACTTGTATTAACTTATAATATATTTCGTGTACTACAAAAATCAAGAGCTAAAGAAATAAATTACGTCAGTGATATTTCTATCATACATGAATAGGTCTTGCTTTTCCGCAGGGGAGTCATAAACATGAGCTTAGCGAGGGCCACGAGTCACGACCACTGAGGAGGTTGCTCAGTGCTTTAGCCTTTACTGTCCTGCGTGCTACTGGTCTACTTAGTGCGTTATTGCTCCCTGATGTAATGTTTGTGGCAAAGTATGTTGTACCTACTTAAGCCCACAGCTGACATAAGTGCAGAATGACGTAGGCAGTGTTACGTTTGCATACAATTGGACGAAACTGTCGCCTTGCACCAGCTAACATTCACGGTTATAAATAGGTAGGTATGCAAACAATCACCGACGTTCCCGTATTTCTGCTTCTCCACAGGTTGTGTGCAAGAAGCTTTATTCCCTTGCTTTTGCTACACCCATGCTACAAATTCACAATTATTATACAGGGTGTCCCAAAAACAATGGATAACCCTGTTACCATCGATAGGCCTCGCCATGGTCTCCCTAACGTCCAATTTTGACCCCTGTAAAAATATCACCGTTTTTAAGATTTTTAAGTTTTTGTGCATTTTTAGAAAATTGCCACCTGCGATTACTTTTTCTCATGCCATTTCTACAAATGAGGATACTTTTCAATCTAGTTTTTTTCTTTATCACAAGGGATAATTAGGCTATCAAAAGAAAAGATTAAAGTTTAACAAACTAGTTTAAAAATATGAAAATTTTAAGAAATTGCAGAGAAGAAGGAAAAATTAATTCATTGTCTTGCACTTTTGATCAGCCATCGTGTAAAAAAAATGTAGGAAGACCATCGTGCCCATTACCTTAAAAACTTCCTTGGTTAATTGAGATTCTAAAAAGGTATCACAACCCTATGTATTCTGTATTATTTTTATCTTATGGCTACTTGAATAACAACTAGTATGAAAACTGCAAAAATGAGTTTTTCTCGTAATAGTTAAACTAGGACTGCGTAGTGGCATTAAATACAAATGGATAATTTTTAGCGTAGGAATTTTAATAAAGCAACATTTTATCATCATCATCATCATCATCATCATCATTTCAGCCATAGGACTGCTGAATGTATCTGTATGCTGTCCACTGCTGAACATAGGCCTGTACCCCAATGATTTTCATAATGACTGCTTGGTAGCGGCCTGCATCCAGCACCTTCCTGGTTACCTTTATGAGGTCGTCGGTCCACTTTGTAGGTGGACGTCCTACGATGCGCTTTCCGGTACGTAGCCTCCACTTGAACCCGGTTGCCCCATTGGCCGTCCGTTCTGCGTTTTTGTGATTACTTAATTTTTGTTTTACACCTTATAAATGTGCCTATAGACAGATACCCGTGATGATACACGGCTCGGAAACGTGGATTTTTTGCACAGCGTGCTATGGAAGGGGCTATGCTCGGGTTTCTTTACGAAACCTTATCAGAAATTAGGAGACCTGTAACGAACTAAAGTCGCTGACATACCCCGACGGATCAGCAAGCTGAAGTGGCAAAGGGCAAGGCACAGTAGTTCGCAGAACTGAGGCAGCAGGGTTCAAGTGGAGGCTACGTACCGGAGAACGCATTGTAGGACGTCCACCTACAAAGTGGACCGACGACCTCATAAAGGTAACCAGGAAGGTGCTGGATGCAGGCCGCTACCAAGCAGTCATTATGAAAATCATTGGGGTACAGGCCTATGTTCAGCAGTGGACAGCATACAGATACATTCAGCAGTCCTATGGCTGAAATGATGATGATGATGATGATGATGATGATAAAATGTTGCTTTATTAAAATTCCTACGCTAAAAATTATCCATTTGTATTTAATGCCACTATGCAGTCCTAGTTTAACTATTACGAGAAAAACTCATTTTTGCAGTTTTCATACTAGTTGCTATTCAAGTAGCCATAAGATAAAAATAATACAGAATACATAGGGTTGTGATACCTTTTTAGAATCTCAATTAACCAAGGAAGTTTTTAAGGTAATGGGCACGATGGTCTTCCTACATTTTTTTTACACGATGGCTGATCAAAAGTGCAAGACAATGAATTAATTTTTCCTTCTCTTCTGCAATTTCTTAAAATTTTCATACTTTCAAACTAGTTTGTTGAACTTTGATCTTTTCTTTTGATAGCCCAACTATCCCTTGTGATAAGGAAAAAAACTAGATTGAAAAGTATCCTCATTTGTAGAAATGGCATGAGAAAAAGTAATTGCAGATGGCAATTTTCTAAAAATGCACAAAAACTTAAAAATCTTGAAAACGGTGATATTTTTACTGGGGTCAAAAATGGACGTTAGGGAGATCATGGCGAGGCCTATCGATGGTTACAGGGTTATCCATTGTTTTTGGGAGACCCTGTATTTCATGAGTGATAAGCGAACTTATTAACATGTATGTATTTAAACAATTCAACTCGCGTATGAAAATGTTGGTTCAAGTATTGATATACATTACATAATGCAAAGTAATAAATGTTTCTTCACAATTAACTCAAACATTGACAACGACCATTAACAAGTGACGACTTAAGTGCCTAAGTACGGACAATAATCCTTAAGGCCATAACAATTAGTTGCGCTTTCTTACATTTGTAATTGCTTAAGACACCAAGTGCAGTGAGCCAACGCAGTGCAGGCATTACTTTAGGATTTAGGTACTGTATTCAGTTTTCTCGCTCTGCGCCGTATGGCACATCTGTCTGCTGATCCTGCAAACTGAGATAGATGGTTATTTTAGTCAGCCATTGGCCGCAAGGCGCCCCTAATACATCAAGCACTTTGCGCGAAATATTGGAAAACTTCGAAGAAAATGGCCGTTGTCTCGATGATGTAGGTATAGCGGTTTCGGCAAGTGATACATCGTATTTATTCGCGAAAGGGTTTGAACAGTGCGCAAGTTTCATTCCATTTGTGATGATGTTCATATATTTTAAATATTTTTGGCGATATGCTAATAACGTAAGCATTTTGTACTACCTCTAAAGATGGGTAGAAGAAAATGCGGTTCAGTAACAAGTGAGACATGGAAGATGGCTCCAAGATATAATTAATTTTCAATGAAAAATGAATGATACAGAAAGTATTCAAAGAACTAAAAGCACACGAATTTCTTATTGCCAGCATTGGTCCTTTTACAATTAACGGGCTAAAAGGACACTGTCGCATGGGGGTCTCGATTGCAATGGCACCGTAATTGCATTTCTTCTGCTTCTCTATTTTGAACGTCCGACCTAATGGATGTTACCCACCGGACAGACAGAACTAGCATGGCTATCGATTTTTTAATGTCCTGTACCTACCTAAAATTCACGTGACAGCAAACTTAACACCTAAGTTTTGCAGTAAAAAATTTTATTAAAAAAAATAAAACCGACTCCAAAAAACCTACACTAAAAAAAGTAGAAAAATAATTACTAGTTACCTACTTATTTATTAGGACGAATTATTAATATTTATGTAGGTATACCATGTTTGATACTTCTGGAGTCGGTGCCAAGATTATGAAACATGTAAAGTTTGCCTGCACCGACTCCAAAAGTATCAATCATGGTATACCTACATAAATATTGATAATTCGTCCTAATAAATAAGTAGGTAACTAGTAATTATTTTTCTACTTTTTTTAGTGTAGGTTTTTTGGAGTCGGTTTTATTTTTTTTTATAAAATTTTAATTATTTCTTGCTTTTTAGTTAACTAATTATTACCTTGATGTTACCACTGAAGGTAGGCAGTACATTGAGACCATTATTCTTAACCTTTAGCTACTGAGGTGGATTTAATTTCACGTAAACACTGACGTGGGGGCCTGAGAGGCCCGTACATATGTGTGCTTATATTTAAAAATATTTAATCTTTTTAGGGTTTTATGTTTCATAATTATTAATAGTGGTTATATTTAAATACAATAAAACGATTTTTATGTAAATTATTTGTTAATAAGTACGTATTATTTCAATATTTAGAAAACATGTAGTATTTTTGGCAAAAATCTCGTGAAATCATGATTCACAAAGTTATCATGAAAAATATTCAAAAATTCAACAAATCAACTTAGAATCTTAATTTTCAATAGTCTTTTTAGCTAATGATAAATCAGTAATCCTAATATGAAATAGGGGGAAAAAAATTATAC